TCATTCATTCATTCATTCATTCATTCATTCATTCATTCATTCATTCATCTATCAATACAAGCAAACAAGCAAACAACATACAAACAGCATACAAACAAACAAACAACAAACGAACAAACAACATACAAACCACATACAAATAAATAACATACAAACAACCAACATACAAACAAACAGCATACAAACAAACAAACAACTAACAAACAAACAACATACAAACGACATACAAGCAAACAACATACCAACCACATACAAACAAACAAACCACATACAAACAACACTAACATCCTCATTGACATCGGTCCAACTTGCAGGTATGATGGATATCCTATCCTGGTTTTGAAAAATCGACACCATAGGCAACAAAGGCGTGGCTCCAGCGGCTGATGAGAACAATGGCGTAGGCATGGGTTTCTTATCCAGACCTGTCCCTCTGGCATAACTACTCTGTACCCTCCTTCTAGGCGGGCAAAAAGGAGTTGTGGCCGATGATTTTTGCTGCTGTTGTTGTTTGTTTAGAGCTTGTGATCTACCCTGCATGTTAAATAGTGGATCGAAATCAGCCAGACTCATGTAGATTGGGTTTTGTGTTGCAATTGAGTCTGGGAACTGAATCAAATCGTCGTCAATGTCGTCGTCTTTGTTGTTGTCGTCGTTGGTGGTATCGTCGACTGTGTTGGTGGTGTAGTTGTAGCTCCCACTTTTGTGCGTGCTTACAAAATTGTCGAAAATTTGGGATCTGTAAAAAATGATTGATGTTCATACACACATTTAAATAGACAATAAAAACAGATAAACGATTTAGATTTAAAAAAAATGTCACTAACTTATCGACCATATCGCTAGAACTAGATGAGAGATTCACCTGTCGAGGGGGTAGTAAAGGTGCCTGATTTGGAACCCCATAATTTTGTAACGTGGATGACGACAACGAGCACGGAAGATTGAAATTAGTTTGATGTTTCAACAAAGCACTGCCTGCACATTCAGGAGGGTATGGTGTATTTGTTTGTGTTTGATAATTAGGGTTCCAAAAAGGTACTCCACGAGGTGCCTTAGCTGGCAGAGGAGGGGGTATTTGAGGTAGAGTTTGTTGGGTGTTGAACTGGTATTGTTGTTGTTGATGAAATTGATGTGGTTGTTGCAATCTCTGTTGTTTTTGATGTTGCAGTTGCTGATGGAAAGAGGTGTTGATGACTCTGTTAGATGTTAAGTTGCTTGCAGAAGTTTTGTTACTCACTGGCCCAAAAGCCGAATCTGAAAGTGTAGAGAATGATGTAAAGTATAATTTATTGCAATCATACTCCAGACCACTTAGGTATATCAATCAATCAATCAATCTTCGTTTTGCGTCCAGAGACCCGGTTTCCCGAGGTAGGACGTTGTTTTCTTTGCTATCAACTTTTTGCACCAAATTAGACGATCAGTTGTATCCATTTCATTTAAATTTAGAGCTTTCATGTCTTGCTTGATTGTTTGCGACCAGGACTTCTTTGGACGGCCTTTGGGACGTGTGCCAGGTACTTCAACATCTGCAAGAGAAGTTATGGCACTGTTTCCACTTCGTTTGACATGACCAAACCACCGCAGACGGTGTTGCCGGCATTCGTCCTTTATATCATCTAAACCAGCACGACGCAGGATTTCGGTAGATTTGATGTGGTCCTTTAGACTAATTCGTTGCATCCATCGAAGCATTTTCATGTCGGTTCGTTGAAGTTGTTGTTCCAGTTTGGTTGTCATTGGCCATGTTTCTGCACCATATAACAACACCGGACGTATCACAGATTTATAAAGTCTCGATCCTAGTGGTAGTGGGATGTCACGCCGCATCAATATAGAGGCAAGGAGATGCCATTTATTCCAGGCTGCACGTATGCGTGCTCGAACGGCAGCTTCAGCTGTTCCAAAACAATCCAGAACATCCCCTAGATATTGAAACGATGTGACTTTCTCTATTTTAATGACTTCAAAAACAGTGCTATTTCAAATTTGTTGTTGTGGATTGATGCAAGCAGGACAAACAAAATTGGACACTTTAGATAAAGTACCAATTATTTTTGAACAACGTTTGTGACACCACTGGTTACACTGCTGACACTTGATTGAATTGTTGCCTACACCAGCTTTACAAACTGAACAGGGCCATCGTCCAGTAGCTGTGGATTGGATGGGTTCACCAGTGTTCTATGCTTTGGTTTTGCTGATGTTGACTTTGAATCCATGATCGGCGAGTCTGGTGTTCCAATCTTCAAACATCTGTGCTGCATTCTGCTCAGACGTGGCTGTTAAAACGATATCATCAGCATATACTAGATTCCAAATGTCACCAGTGCGTATCGGTTTTGTGATTTCTTCCATCACAGTTATAAATAACAGTGGACTGAGAATCGAGCCTTGGCGAACTCCAATGCCGATTAGGTATATAAGACCACTTTGGTATATAAATACATATATCGTTATAAAGTGATGAGAAACTAATCAGCGACAAAATGTATGGAAATAAAAAATAGTAGATACCGAATAAAAAAAAGAAAATGATGATCACTTGAAAATAATGGATCAAAATCCTTAACAGTGTAATGACCATTCTTTATTTCGCTACAGGCAGGCGACAGCTGAATCAGTTCCCCATTTGTGGTTGAATTCACTTTTAAATTATCAACTCTGTTGGATTCTTTAGAGTCCAACATGTTCTGAGAGAATGGCGGAACTGAATGACTTCTTGGTACCATATCAATTGCCAGGTTCTGATCACTCGTCCCGGTCTATAGATCATGATAAAATTGATGAAATTTTTCTTATAAGAATTTTTTCTACTGTGAATATTTCTTAAAACGTTAAAATGATCTCACAGTTTAAAAATAAAATATTTTAACACCTTTTTAACTATCATACTTTATTTACAAAAAAATTAATAAAAGAAATTGAAATATAATACAAATGTATAAAAATTTCTCTAACAATTTGATTCCATGGGTTGACAGCAGAAAGATCGTTGAAAGCAGGTTTAGGCCTACTTAACTGACTTTTTGATTGATTGACAGGAATGGCTGACTGATCAGTTTGGGGCACCCGCACAGTTTTTGGGGGAGGGCGGAGTGGTGGTACGTCTGAGGGAGCTAGTCTATACATTTGACGTTGTTTCTCTTCTTGCTGAGCTGTTATCATACTCAGCATCTTAGCTCTCTCTAACTCTTGCTGGAAGTTGGCCTCTTCTTCATCATCAACCCTGTTGTTGTTGTTCATCGTTGTTAATGGTGTAATTGTTGCTGCTGCTGGGGTTGTTGCTGGAGTCGTTGGCGAATTCGAAGTTGCGTTGTCGTTGTCTCTAATAATTCTTGTGACTGGTGGCGGTGGAGAAAGATCTGGATACAAGTTTTGATAACGACGAGACTCCATATGCAACCAAACACAAATAGTCGAAACTCTTTAACAATCTTACTTAGAAGTCTTACTTACATTAAATGAATGAATGAGTGAATGAATGAAATGAAATGACATTCACTGAATCTGCTAAACTGGAAATGAAATGACAATTAAAATGAACTGACTGAAAAACACCAGGGAATGATAATCTATTTTTGTATTATATGTAAAATTTACATATGTAAATTTATAAAGTAAAACACTTTCAAAAACACGATGAAGAAGAAGCTGATTTCTGATGTTTTTAACTTTTGGGAGTAGTAAAAATATTATGAAACACAAAGAAACAGAAATGAAGTTTTACTTTTAAATTTTTTTAAATCCAAAAAATGATAAAGAAAAAAGGTGAAGCAAGTTTGTTTTTTTAGGAGTTTTAGTGAATTTTATAAATTTTATTGAAGATTTCAACTGATAGAAAACCTCTAAGAAAAATTATCTACAACATTTAATGAACAATTCATTAATTTGTAGAAAAAAAGATTTTATCTTAGCTACTGATGACATTTTTAAATCAAATTTCATTTTTAAAAATATTTTTATTTGTATACACAAAGTAAAATTTTCAGGCGCCTAATATACACACATATCAATTTTGAAACCTCACACATGTTATTTCGCTGACATTTTATCTCAATTAAGTCCAACGAGTTCTCCAATCAAAAAGTATACGTTTCAAAATAAACGTTTGCTGCTAATAGCTATATAAAATTTTTATAAAACTTTAATCTAATTTAAGTTAATTTAATCCAAAATACCAAATAATATTTTAAATGCTTTCAAGCAGAATTGTCTATCAATTCAACTGATTTTTTCCTTCCTTCCCAGCAATATAACATGTTACATAACTTTTATCAAAATTTTTTTATTAAACTATCTATTTCTTAATTCCTATAAATTCTTCAAAACTGTAATTAAATCTTTAAATACTTTGAAACACTTTGAAAATACTTTCTTATTGATTGACGAATAAGAAATTAATTTCATCTTACGAATAATCTCAAATATTTGCATAAATGGAAACTGATTAATGAAAAGTATATAAAGTGAAGATCAGAAAATTGATCAAACTTTTAGCAGTTTTGTTCGGAAGCATTGAGATTAGTGAATTGATATAGATTTGACATTATAAGATCAATCCGTAATAGTGCAAAAATCAATGGTATATTTTCTTGGTGAATATTTAAAAGCAGTCAAATTGTATAGAATGAAATATGGTTGTAATTGAATGAAATTGATTTGTAATTAGAATGTGACAATAATATTATAAAAGCGGTAACTTAAAAGTGAGATTGAATAAAGGAAACAAGAGCACGCAAAACATGCAATGCAGGCAGATAGTTTATTAAATCTAGGAGTGTTCTAAAAACCGTAGATTTATCATAATCTTAAATTCAAGTTGTCATATTAACGTTCAAATTTCAAGCTTAGAAAGTTGAATATCCACATTATTTTGCAATAGGTACTCGTCAGTTTTTTGCGTCATATTGGCTACCTTTTTGCATGTTAATTATTGAATTAAACTAACATTTAATTGAAAGTTATCATTTCAGCCTGTCAACTTTTTTACTGTTATGGGTTCCAACAGGTCTAAACCAGTGAGTATTTGATTTTATCTAGCTTTGCAATAGTGAAAAATGGTAATATGTAGAATGGGGCAGAGTTTATTCCTAAATTTGATTGCTTTCTTTAAAATGCTAATTATTGCATAACATTGCTTAAGAAACAAACGATAGAGCTCTAATTTAAATGAAAATTTAGGAAATTTATTGATGTTGATAATATTTTTAAAAGAATCAGTTTGTTCACCAATTAATTTTTCAAATAGTATTATGAAATTCGATGTTAAATAGTCATAAATGCATTGAACTGAGCAAAAATGTAATTATTCAACAAATGGTTTCTATTTTATAATAATGCTTCTAATTTGTTGAAACTAATAGGAAGGTAGTGAGGAGCAGTCTGATAATGGAGTGGCGGGAAGAGAGGAGAGGTCTGACGGACCTGAACGTCGACAACAGGCTCCAGAACCAGAAGCCCCTCAACTTCGAGCAAACGCCATCAATGCCGAATTTGGAAATGTGGAACCACCATCGCCGCAGCTGGCCGACACCAGCGAGTCAACACCCACCAGATCGAGACCACTTTCTGCACCAATATCAGCATCGCCCATTGATTTATCTTTTGCAAAAATAAAGGCGAAAAGTTCTTCAGAGATAGGCGCGAGCAATGCAGACGAGGCATCCTGCTTTGATGTCTACAGAAGACAATTATTTAACTTAGTGGAAAACGTTCAAAAATCGTTTCCTGAAAATTCGGATGCTGATAAAACAGCCGAAAATATTTCCGAGACCCGAGAGAAGACAGCAGAGAAAAAAGATGAAGAACCGCAACTGCCGACCGATCGACCGAAAGTTGAGAGCGACGTGCCAAAGTCTGAAAAAGAACCATCACCAAAAGAAATAAAAACTGCAAGGCAGTCGGCGACAGAAGCTCTTTGCGGCGTAAAAGAAGTCAAGGCGGTTGCTGCTAAAATGTTCGGAAAGCAACTTCAAGCACAGGCAGAATATATGATGAGGTCTCTACAAGAAAATTCGAATAGTGAGAATAAAAAAGAAGAGAAGCAAGAAAAAGAAGAGGACGAAGCCGAAAGCTCGATTGAAACTTTCCGAAACGACGACGTGAATGAAGCAGTCGATTTGTCGGAGCACGAAACTACTGGCGACATCATGACATGCGAAGTCATCAGTGAAATGAAAAGTTTGAAAGAAATTAACGACGGCAGCAGCAGTAGCCAGGATTTTGAATTTGACAGGCCTCTACAGAATGAACATCTCACACAAATTCAAATAGTCAGAGAGCAACACATCTATTTGGAAGACCATCAGTTAGAGAACATCATTGGACAAAATTTAACTCGACCATGCGAAATTCTTATAGCGGAAGAAAAAGTTGAACCTTTGCAATGTGAAGAAGCCAAACCAGCAGTGAGTCAGAATAAACAAGTTGATGAACAGGTTGATGAACAGGTTGATGAACAGGTTGAGAAACATGTTGCTGAACAAGTTGACGAACAAGTTGATGATAAACAAGTTGTTGAACACGTTGTTGAACATGTTGTTGAACACGTTGTTGAACAGATTGTTGAACAGATTAATGAAAATGTTGATGAACAAGTTAATGAACGGGTTGACGAACGGGTTGTTGAAGAAGTTGATGATCATGCTGATGGACGAAGGCTTGATAAACACAACATTGATGTCAAATCAGAACGGCAAAAAACAGGCGATAAAACAAAAGAAAACACAAACGAACGTGACGAACCATCATCTGATGAACAAGCACACGATGGAAAACAAAATGAAAACGAACCACAACAACAACTTCACTCTGAACAGCCACACAAATCTGACGAAAACATCCTTGAATCAAAACAGCAGACCGAACAAACAAACAAAGATGAACAGAAAACACAGTGCTAAACGAAACGAGACGAGCGCGGTTAAAATTAACGAAACGAAGATAATTTGGGCTACGGCAGCCTTTCTTTTAGATAACTTTTTTTAACTTTTTCAAATATTTTCCACTTAATTACAAATCCAATTCACGATCAAAAAGTACCTGGCTGTTTTTCCAAGCAAGCAAACACATCAGAACAGTACCATTAATTTTATTTAAATTTGAGTTTTCTTACTTGTGTTTTAATCTAATTTTATTATTGAGAAGTGATTTACATTCAAATTTACATGCTTCAATTATTATCGTGAGGAAATGTGATTAAATCATTTTTTAATCTTTCAACAACAAACGAATTAACTAAAAAAAAATCGAAATTAATTCACTAGATGTCTGCTTTTATTTTTAAATTATTGCCATTTAATTTGTGGAAATGAAAAAAAATCTGAATGTAAAATTGGCTTCATTTTAAAACTTTTATTTGGCCGAAAAATCGACTATCAAATATTTCAAATAATTTTATTAATTTCAAATTATTTTCATAATTATTATACAAATAATAATTATTATTGAATAATATAAACACAAAACACAGTTGTTAAAAAGAGCTTTTATTGATTGATAGTGATTTTAGAGGGGACAAGTATAGCCAGGTTATTGTTAAGTAATAATAACTTAAATTAATTAAAAAATAATTTACATCTAGAAATTAATTAGTAAATAAATGAATAAATAAATAAATTAACTAATTAATTAATTAACAACAAATTTGAATTCGAATAACTTATTAAGGATATTAAACAAAAAGTCTTAAAACAGTTTTTATTCATTACATATGTACATTTGGTGAAGATAGGTTACGTATTCAAACTAGAATTTTCGCATAATAATAGCAATAACAATCATAATAATAATGATAAAAAATATTATTATTATTAATTTATAATATTATTACTGTTTTAGTTTTTATTTAGATGGGAAATTAAAGTAAAACCGGGTGAAAAGAAATCTGAAAAATTTAAAAAAAAAAAATGGAAAAAATTGCAAAAAATGACGAATGAACTCATATGAAGGGAATTTAAATAAGGTTTACCAATTGCTCATTAATTATTCATTCAATTATAATAGTTAATTATGATTAATAATACTATAATATCCTATTTGCCTTCAAATTTTAAATTTATTTAATAATACATTTATGACTAATAAGGTAGGTAAAAAAAGATAAACCATGAATGAATGTATCGCATCCTATTAGTCACGGCACGTTTTGCACTTTTAATGATAAATTATAACTTTTCTAATTAATTATTCAATAAATAATCAACAAAATATTATACATTAATAATTTTTTATACTAATTGTTAGCATCTATGAGCAATAGTTAGTTACTCTAAGTTACTGATTGCTAAAGGGACTGAAATAAGTGATTTATAAATGCGTCCGTGGCACTTTTGTGATGTTGTTTTTATCTGATAAATAACTACACTATGACGATGATGAGTACAACAATGGTGGTTGGTTAGTTGATTGTTTGATTGATTTGCCGGTTGATTTGATAATTGATTGACTAATTACACTATGGGCTGATTGGCTGATTGGCTGGTTTGCTGGCTGGTGTTGATTGACTAGTTAATATCAGCGGTTTAATTTAATGATTGATTGATTTTGTAATTGTTTGTTTGGTTGATTGATTGATTGATTGATAGATAGATAGATAGATAGATTGATTGATTGATTGATTGATTGATTTTTTGGTTGGTTGATTGATAGAATGGTTAAAATTGTAGCATATATCTATCTATTTAACTGGATAACACGATTAAGATGAAAAAAATGATGAAGATGGTACTGATAGTGATGCCTGCATGGTTATGATGATGAGGAGGAGGAAGAGGACGATGATGTGACTAAAAATTAAAACGACAAAAATGACGATGATGATGGATAATAATGGTGATGGTGATGATGGTAGTGGTGATGATGATGATGGTGATGATGACGATGATGAAAGAAATCTACAGTTGCATCTTTATCACAATAGGAAGATTGATAAAACATAATTACATTATCATAACTTCAAAACTATCATATCATCATTATCAACATTTTACTTATTATCATTATTATTGTTATTATTATTATTATTATCATTATTATTATTCATTCGTTTCATTTCCCCAAAATAATAATTTAAAAACCGTCCATAAGTCTAAGCCATCTTCATCATGGTCGTGGTGATGATGATGATGTTTGTGATCATCATCATCATCATCATGACTGTGTTTTTTGTGGTTATGATTATGATGTCGAGGTTGTTTTTCACTATCATCATCATTTTTGTGAGCGGTGGCATCTCGTGTAGATGTTATCTTGGATTTGCAGAAGCCATCATCCCCACCATCACCACCACCATCATCACTTTTATCATTTTTACCCTCTTTTCCATCATCATCATCGTTTTTATCTTTATAACTACTATCGTCACCTTCATTTCTCCCATCATCATCGTTATCATCATCACTGCTTAACAGTTTTTTCATGATGATGGAAGAACGTATAACACCGGATATGTTGATTTCCGGTTTGCTCCTCAAGACTTCCGGTACGGAGAAATCATTATCATAAACATCGGGAATGCCATCGTCATCGTCATCTTCGTCCAAATAATTTGGTACTCCGTCGCCATCCGAATCGGTTTTTAAATCGATATCAATCGGTTGTTTCGGTGTGTCAGTACGTCGGTAGGTGTCGGGTGCGTGCTCTTTCCTGCTGTGTCGTTTTGCGAAGGATCGTGTCGAAATGTGCTGGTGCGGTTTCGGTACTTTTGTTTTTATTACGTCATCGTCATCGTTGTCATCCTTTCCGGGCGTGTGAGTAACTCCGACATCGGTTTCTTGCTCTGGTTCGACTGGCTGTTCATCTGTATCCTGTTCATCTCCAGCTTCTGCAGTTCCAGGTTTTTGCACCTTTTCTTTTGTTTTTTCTTCATCTTTATCGTCATCTTTTTTATCACCATCACTTACTATGTCTTTTTCGTCACCTTTTTCATCATCATCTTGTTTATCACCAGCATCATCTGTTTCATCATAAACATCGCCTTTCATATTAACATCGCCATCATCATCTGATCTATCACCTTCAACATTTTCTGTTGGTGACTCAATGAAATCCTTCTCAAAATATTCTGAAAATTTAATATCAGCTCGATAGTCATCATCTAAGAAGTCTAAAATGCCATCACCATCATCATCATCATCAAGATAGTCAGGAACACCATCGTTATCATCATCATCGTCTATGTAATCCGGTATGCCGTCGTTATCACTATCCTTCGTTAAATCCGGATCGCTGCTTGTGCCCATCTCCAGATCGTCCTCGTCTGTTGCTGCAGTGTTTTTGTCATCAGCTGTTCCATCAGCAGCTTGGGATAGTAGCACATCATTGAGCCATGTTTCGCTGATCTCTTCATTAACGTCATCCCTTTTCTCTTCATCTGCAACTTTATCTTTTTCATCATCGTCTTCATCTTTATCGTCACTCTTATCTTCATCTTTATCATCATCTTTGTCATCACTTTTATCATCATTTTTATCATCACTATCGTTGCTGTCTGAAGAAGCGGAAGTATCATGATATCTTTTATCTTTTTTCTCATCTTCACCATCACTATCATCGTCGTTTTCGTCATATTTATCTTTATCACGGGCATCATCATCATCGTTATCATCATCACCACTTTTGAATGCAACGTCATCAGCTTGGTAATCATCATCAAGAAAGTCTAAGATGCCATCACCATCATCATCATCATCGAGATAGTCTGGGACACCATCGTTATCATCATCATCATCTATGTAGTCTGGGATGCCATCATTATCACTGTCTTTCGTCATGTCGGTGATTTTTTCACTATTATCATCTTTTTCCTCATCATCATCTATCGCGTCTGTCATCTCGACATCTGTAGCAGATTCTTCGGCCAGTAGAACGTCATCAAGCCACGCCTCACTCGTGACGTCATCAATGATGTCATCTTTTTTATCGTCACCATCATTTTCGGCTTTTGCTTCATCTTTTTCATCGCTATTATCTTCACTGTCATCCTCTTTCTTATCATCATCATCAACCTCACTTACATCATCATCGTCCTTACCGTCAACAACAGCTTCTACGCTTTCACCACCATCATCATTTTTTTTTTCTTCGTCATCACCATCATCAGCACTTCTAAAACCAACATCATCAGCTTGGTAACCATCATCAAGGAAGTCTAGAATGCCATCACCATCATCATCATCATCGAGATAGTCTGGGACACCATCGTTATCATCATCATCATCTATGTAATCTGGTATGCCGTCGTTATCGCTATCTTTCGTCATGTCGGGGATTTTATCATTTTCATCATTCTCTTCGTCATCGTCATCATCTTTACCCTCGTCATCATCGGCGACATCTTCCGTGGTTGTGAGTTCTTCAGCTTTCAAAACATCATCAAGCCATGTCTCGCTGGTGATGACGTCATTTGCGTCATCAGTCTCATCACTGTTGACGTCATTTTCCTCCTCTTTCTTATCATCTTCACCATTGCTTTCTATACCCTCATCTGTATTGTTGTCATCTGCAATGTCACTATCACCTCTTGCGACTGGGATCTTTGTATCACTAACTTCGACAACTTTGTCACCTTCGTCACCATCGTCATCACTTTTGAACCCGACATCATCAGCTCGATAGTCATCATCGAGAAAGTCTAAGATGCCATCACCATCATCATCATCATCTAGATAGTCTGGGACACCATCGTTATCATCATCGTCATCTACGTAATCTGGTATGCCATCATTATCACTGTCTTTTGTCATGTCTAAACTTTGCTTTTCAGCTTCTTCAGTTTTTTCATCACTGCTTTTATTATCATCAGCATCTTCATCTTCATCTTTTTGTTTCTTTTCTTCGTCATCAGATGGAGTGGCAGATGTTACATATGTAAATGTTTTCGTGTCGGTAATTTCTTCTACTA